CTCACTCTCAAACCATGAGTTCCCCTATTCTTAAAGCCCTAGGGTGTCATAAACCCTAAACTAGTCTCCTCGACAAACAGGTGGAAATAGCTAGGTTTAAGTCTCTTAACAAACTATAAGACAATCCCTCAATAAATAATAGAACAAGAATAGCCTTAGTACACGAAAAGGAAGCTATATAATATCACATGGGTTTATATACTCCTCTCCCTAGGAGAGCTCTCGCCAAACAATTATGCAATATATTATGCTCACTCATTTCACAATTTCACAATTTCACATATCAAATAACTTATTGGGTTTCAAAAATACAATAACCCCTATAAACATCCTTAATCAGTCACACATATTTTCTATTTCAAAACTTAATTACATACTCTCCATATCATGTAATCATCAACCCAACATCTCAATTCAACTCATAATCATATAAAAAATGTTCCAAACTCAACTTTTATTTTAAAATAAAAAGTGGAGTTTCAAATATATCAAATTCAAACATCACATGTGTGGCATATATACACAGCCGTGTAAAATACTCATCCATATCAAGTAGTTCATTTTTTGAAATTTAATTTAATTAATAAGCAACTACACATAATAGATTTCCTCCAGTTACCTCAAACTTTTAAGAGATTAAAGATTTACATCTCAAATATATGATTCCAAGCTTGCTCTCAAGCTCAAGATAATGTACAAAGGATTAATCTACAATAAATTAAGTCCAATTCATCATTATCTCCATTTACACAATTCAAGCCTATAAATTTCCAATTCTATAAATAACCCAATTTTCTCATTATTAGCATTCAAGCTTAACCATTAGGTTTATTATCTTCTATCAACCCTAATTAACAATCACTAAACTCCCTTAGGGTCATTAATGTCACTCAACAACCTCCAAACCTATAAATAATACTAAAATTTCAGACATAAATGCCCCACAACCATCATTAATGAGAAAATCCATAGTTTGTAGGCCTAAATATCTCAAACAATCCCCATTAACTCCATTTGAGTCAATGGGTTAGAACCTATAGCCTATATGAATTGAAAATCAACTCCCCAACATAAATCATAACTCAAAATCTATCAAGAGAGGAAAAATGAAGGATGAGAGAAGCTTAGGGAGCTTACCTAAAGTGATTGAAAGCCTCCAAATACTCCAAATTAACCTATAGTCTAAACCCTAGCAGAGCAAGACTCATGCTCTTTGTTCCTCTTATTTTTCTTCTCACTTTTCTTATGTTGTTTGAGCTAATTCGTGATCTTATTACTATCAAAATTGGTCCATATGCTATGATGAATGTCACATGCTCCATGACATATGGTACAGAAAAGGCTCCTTCACATTTTTTAGCCAAATGCGCCACGGCACATGACGCATGTGGCATAGCGACATTTCTCTTTATTGGTCTCCTCTTTTAGCACTCAAGTGACCCAATTTCACTTTAGACTCAAATTTATAGCTAAAAATGCAATCAAAGGCACTCATTAAACCCCTCTAACCATGTATCACATTAATCTCATTAATTTTTACTAAGTTACTCTTGATTACTCAAATTAATAGAAGGGTAAATTTTTATGATGTTACAACTAACACAAGCTTAGGGGCTGTTAAACCTAGAAGTGTCCTTATGATTTCTAGATTAAAGTTGTATAGTGAGAAAAGACAAGAGAAAGATGATGAACTTAAAAATCCTACTCAATTCAAAAGACTAATAGGAAAGTTACTCAATTTGAATGTTACACACCTGATATATCTTATGCTTTACAAGTTCTTAGTCAATTTATGAGTTGTCCAAGGAAATCTCACCTAACAACTGCAATGAACATGGTCAAATATGTAATGCTTGCTTTAACATTATCAAAACAACACTCAAACACATCATTATGACAACCAGAATTTATTAAAATCCCTAAGAAAAATCATCATAACCTAAGGTTTTAAAAGTAAATAGTAAAAAATATTGGGATCTCAAAAAAATCTTTTTTTGAAAATTCGTTTGAGCTCAAACTATAGTTTAAAATAATTTATACAAGGTAAAGGAAGCATGAAAACCATAAACAACTATTAAAAACATAACTGGAACAATTTGAAAAATTCTAGAATTGACACCGTCTGTTGCGACACAAGCCTTACCCACCACGACAAATAGCATAGAGGGACTATGTCCCCCTTAATGCATAGTGCTATAACATGACTGTCATGTGCCACGGCGCGTGCCTACTGTCATTACAGCATATTGCTGTCATGATAGCACTTTAGACCAATTTTGGAGCATGTCATTTCGCCATCTGACGTCCAATTTAAGAGATTCAAGTATCCATGCATAGCTCTTCGAGCCATCTAATTATTGGCACTAATCTCACACTTAAATATTCAACCATTAAAAAGTTAGACACTAAATCCAAAAGGGTTTGTTTTCAACCCACAACATACTCAAGGGTGTCTAAATCTCACAACCCTATGCCAATAGCCTAGAAACTACTTGGACCCACTCAAATAGACCACACACAACCTGATCAATCAATCATACCATAACAATAATAGCATCATTTCACAACAATATCAATGGGTGGTTAAAATTCATCATAAATGTCATTTGACCATTTTAACACACAATCAACACAACCATATCACTTACACTAATATCTCGACTTCTCACAGCATTTTTAATACAGATATATCATTCTAAGTCGAGATACACACTCCTACACCACAATTCTCATACAAGTAAATACAAAACAATGAATGATCCTAAGTTGGCATCAAATTCTTAACATATTCATTACAAACAAAAACATAAAAGGGAAGAGCTATATAAACGTAGCTTTTCACTTCTCGTTAGTCCCTTCCTTCCCTTTACTACTATCGGAGCCCTTACTTATAAAATATAACTACAAGTGAGATAAACATCTCAGGAATAGAATAATTTACCATTATCAATTAATGATAATGATGAATTATTATTGGCGCGATGCACCAGGAGTATATACTTATATTATATTTAGTCAAAAGAGTTTTACAAATAAATGATAAAAAATAGAATAAATTTTATCATAAACACTTAAAGTGCCTGTTTAAATTTCAGTTGGATATAATAAATTATAAAAATAATTAATTAAATGATAGATGTTAATTATAATGGATTATATCTTAACGCAATCTGTTTGGATACTGTTTTTTTAAAATTAATTTTAATAGAATTGAAGTGTGTGTTTGGATAAGGATTATAATTGATTTTTTAGGTAAAAAAATTAATTCTCCAATTAATTACCCAAACATCAATTTCTCAAAAAATTGATTATAATCGAAAGCTGCAAGATTTAGCTCCTGTGTCTTTTGTTACAAAATTGTATGGAAAAATTACAAAAAAAAGGTTCAAAAAATTATAAAAAAGCACAAAATTTAATAACAATAAAACCAAACTCTCTTCTCTTCTTTTTTTCTTTTATAAAATTTGAACTTTTGATCTTCAAAATAGTTACTAGCATAAATTTCTATTAACCACCACCCTCCACTTAACACTTGCTATAAAATTAATTTAAATAAAATATTAATTGAAAAAGGATATGTTGTCAAAAATTTTAAGCAGTACTTAACATTTTCATCACATATGACTTATATTCATGATATCATTAGAAATTAACTTGTACATTATTATCTTCATTAGTTATTGTAAAGTTAATGTTTGATATTTAAAAATTAAATCTTTCTCTTTTATTAAATTTATTTGAGCTAAGATATATTGGGTTATTTATTTACATAAATTAAAATTGTTAATATTAATATAATTTAAATTTTTATAATTAATCAAATATATAATTTAAATAATATATTTTACTTTTTAAATATTAGATACAAATTTATCAATAATTTAATTTTGAAAAGCAATGTTCTTTATTCAGTTAAAATTGATTCTAAATAAATTATTCAAATATTTTTAATTCTATTAAAATTAATTTTAAAAAATAATATTCAAACAGATTGCGTTATAATATAATCAATTATGATCAAAATCTACTATTTAATCAATTATTTTTATAATCTATTATACCTAACTGAAATCCAAACAGGCATGAAGATGTTTAGATAATTTAATCAGAATCAATTTTAGTTATATAAATTATTATATAATTTAATTCTCAAATACCAAAAATTAATTTTTTGAAAATACAAAATTTAAATTTTACTAAAAACAAAAAAAGATGAATAAGAGTTTGATTTTATTTTTATTAAATTACGTGCTTTTTTTGTAATTTTTTCTTGATTTTTTTTATAAATTTTTTCAACATTTTTTGATAAAATTTTGGCAAATGCTCAAGTCGCTAGCTTTTTAAAATAATTGATTATGGATTGTTTCAGGTGCTTGGGTAATAACTTAAAAAAATTAATTTTTTGAGTCAAAAAATCGATTATGCACATATTCAAACAGGCACTAAATCATATCATTCCACTTAAAATGCTAATGAATATAAAAAAACTAAAATAAAAATAAAATTATTTAAATATAAAGAAAAGGAAAATTAAAAAATAATTATCAATAAAGAAAGAATATCACAAAAACAACTAACATTAAATTATGCAATTTTCTCAATGTTAAAAAAATATCTCTTATTATTCATGTGAATCATAAAAATATTCTCTTTTCATTTCAAAATATAAAATGTTTTTTAAAAAATTATATATTAAAAAATATTAAATATTTTTAATATTTTAATATATAATTAATGTATCTTAAAAAAAGCTCATAATAAATAAGTCGTTATATTTATTTTAAAATTAAACAATCTATTAAATATAAATAAATATAAAAAAATATTAATTTAAAAATAATTAATTATTTTATTGAAAAACAAAATTGAATTAAATATGCACAACATCTTTTAACCACCTAATACTTTATAACCAAGTAAAATAAGTCTATGTAACATTTGATTAGATAATATTAAAAGTATTATTAATATTAATTAATTATAACCCGATAAAACCCATTCTCGTGCAGAGGAGTTGATCCAGTTCTCCTCGTCGACCGACAAGCATACCGCACCCCGTCGGACGCCGGCCACCGTTGACAGCCCAGCGTGACTGTTGCCGGGCAAGCAGTGAAGAAGGTTCGAACCTAGGGCTTCTTCTACTTCAAAATCCGGTGAGATTGATTTGTTCAATCTGGCTTTGAATCTAGATTTGAATTTGTTGCCCGAGTTATCTGTTGCTTCCGTGGCTGTTCTTGCTTTGATTTATTTTTTTTCATTTTAATTTGGCTTTGAATCTGACCGTGTAATCGTTGAATATTGACGCATCTGAATTTGGGAATATTTACATATTGAGTTTATTTTTTGGGTACTAATTTTTGCTTGAATGGTGTGTAATTGGCTATTATACTTTTTCCCTCTTCATTTTGATTACTAAGCGACCTGTATGATTTGGATTGTGTTGTTTTGCAATGTTGGATTTGTTGTGTATTGGCAATCTGTTTATTAATCGTTTTATATTATCGTCAATTTTGAAAAATTCTCAAGGTATTTGTGACGTATGATCTTGTCAATGACTTGGTTCGAGTTGTGTCAAAGTATCTGGAAAAAAAATTGAAAGGGTATTGTATCAATTATGCATATTTCAAAGATTCCGCTGAGTGTAATATAGGTCTGGTCATCATCATAATGATGCAACTATCTAATTGCAATTGACTATGTATTTTGCTGTACATTCAATTGAATCTTTAACAAGTTGAGACTTGAATGTAAATGCTGCATGTTGAATGTTAATTTGAATTCCTTAATGCTCATTTATATTTGAATTCTGTTTCAGTGAAGTCTGCTCTATGTTCTTAAATGCAGGAGCTGTTGATTATTAATTTTAATCTATGGATGACAACGCAGAAAATAACAGCATGAAGAAAATGACGTCACCATGTGATGTTGAAGCTCTGAAAAAATGCCTGGAGGAGAACAAGGGGGACCATGTCAAATGCCAAACGCAAATAGAGGCTTTCAAATCCTCATGTTCATTGAGGAAACCAAATTCATCTCTTGACTCTTCCCCATCTCTCAAGACAGGTGGTTGATGTTCAAGTAACATGGCCTTGAACTTGAATTGTAACTTTTTGGCCAAAAAGAAAAAAGAACTTGAATTGCAACTTAGGGGGATTTTCCATTTCTTGAAAGGGAAATATATCTTAGACTTTGCATTGTTTTAGGATGAGAATCAAAACTGAGCCCAATGTTTCACTGCTGTCACTATGCTTTTGTGGCAGTAAAATTGCCAGCCTGATACCTACCCTGTTTCTGCTTCCATGTAAATAAAGTTATATCAATTGTTTTATTTTTGTGAAAATTGCATGTTTGCACTTTGCAGTGTTGATCTCACAGAAAATTGACATGATTGAACATGTTTTTACTTGAATATTGTTGCAAATCAAGAATCAGAGTTTTTAAATAGGGTTCATTGATAATATTCAGGAGGCACAATAACTCCATTGCTGTCGAATTTTAAAATCAAATTCATCAAAGTTCTCTTCAAAATGTTGCCTATTCAGAAGCCAACTAAACACAGCAAGAACTCCAATGCTGTCAAGTTTCAGAATCAAATTCAAAAAGTTTCTCTTCAAAATGTTATCTATTCATAAGCCAACTAAACAATCAAGAATGAACGAATGAATATTGTTTTCTGGGGGCATTGATCATATTCTTATGGCTTCATAAATTACATAATCAATCATCAAAACTTTTTTATTTCTTCAGCACCATGTGGCCATGCTCATCCTTATCAAATAAACGCTCAATCAATTCCTCCCAGGTTTCTAACTTGCTTTTGTTCGTTGAACTGGAAGATGACTCAGCCTGTGATTCCAGCAAGCTCTCTCCTTCTTCTTCACCGAAAGTGCCATACTGTGATGGCAGTGTGTCAGCATGAGGCACATCTAGTGTTTTGGCCCTCTGCAATGCTGCCTTGTATTCCTCACTGTGTCTAGTTAGTGTCTCCTGCCTCTCCATTATTTGCTTTGCAGGGATCTCCATGGTTTGATCTTTCTCCTGCATCAACTGCAGTTTGCAGAAACATAACACCATAGGGTTGACACTTGTTGATCTAATACAGAATGCCAATTTCTCATGAGATTTTTGACTAAGCGGTACTAAAGGAGTCATTTCTAACGTTAAAATATCTGAGTTCAAAACTTAGTCTGAGTATATATATAAATATAGCATGCCAAATTAAATTAGAGTACCTAACTCTGATTTCAGCCTAATCTTTTGTTGACATTTTTTATTTAGGTTCTGGACAACTTTTACAACTCAGCGTCACATCAACAACTTCATAAAAAATGCTCCTCCCCATGTCATAATTAGATTGAGATCCTCTACAATAAGACACCGCCCATTTAAGAGAGAAACTGATATGAAAGAGTAAAAGCGTGTATAGGCTCACTTTTTCTCTTTCCAATTGCTGTTTATTTTCTCTTTATCTAAAATAACAAACTACGCATCATGCATTTACTTGCTAATTGCAGAGGACCCAAATCCGTCATGATTCTATTAAAGAACACTAATAAAAATGTATATACATACATCTAAATTTTGTTTCAGCTTGACTTTCACATGTAAATGGATTAAACGATCACGAGGCTGAAAAACTTACATGAAAAGCCCTTTGGGCCTCTCTCTCTATCCAAAGGATGGCATGATCAGCCGTGGCATTGCAAGAGAGGACAACATGCTCAAACCTACCATCTACTGGCACTGCTGTTCTGACAACTGGGGGGAATCTTCCAGGTCTGCAGGTGCAGATACCCATGTTAAACAGAAGCAAAAGCCATATAATACAAGTAACTCTCTTTTTCTACATGAAGTAACAAAATTTTCTAATGGAAGAAAACTGAGAATGAACATTCCAGATAATAATAATTGGGCTTAAATTGCTAATAATTCTGCATAAACTGTGTTTGGTATCCTTAACTATACCTGAATGGCTTTCTCTCGACAATGTGATAGAGGCGACCTGGTGCATAGAGTCTCCTAGGATCTTTCAACATCCTCTCCTCAGGTATACATGTATCCCTCATGCATCTCAAGCACAACAGACACGGCAAACTACCAACCACAGTAAACATGCTTTCATAAATACATTATCCGAGTAGAAACTCTAAAATTACACCAACAAATAAAATCAGGGTTAAACTAACTTACGGCATAACTAATCAAAAGTATCTTTTGACTACAAAACAAATGAATTTATTATGGTCTTGATAAAAGGAAGCAACCTTTTTGTCAGATAAGCATAAAACTTTTTTTTTTTTCCAACAGTTTTCCTGAGACACCAACGCTATATCAGTCATCTAATGGTTGGTGGGTCGTGTTGAAGGGGGATGGGGAAAGGAATTGAAGCGCATAATAGACCATAGTATGCTAAAAGCCGAAAAGATTCTCTCATTGTGTAACAAGAATGATAGAAAGCGAGATAAAATTATACAGTTGCTGAAGATATACCAGAAGAGAGACTTGAATATATCTTCCAGTGGAGTAGCTGTTCTTGGTAAGAAGTCATCCTGAACATGGTAAAGACCAGTTAACTTCATAACCTTGAAGAAAGAAACAGACTAAAATCTAATTCACACTAAACTGCTGCGTGGTGAAAATGTTATTTTATCTTAAACAAATAAGTTTTGCATTATACCAATCATAAAAACAGATCATTCACTGATTCATCAACTTCCACATATGAAAGGCTTAACCCATATATTTATTTGCACTGGACAGATGAGCTCAGTGAAAATCCACAAGAGATTACTTCTCACTATTATATGAAACAGTTCATTCTTCTTTCTCACAGCAAGGTAAGCATTAGAATGGATCCGATATTTTTCAACAGACATATCAGAGGACATTCCCCCAAAAAAAACTGAATATCACACCTCATGTTGACCCAGTGAAAAACTGAGTCCTCCCCTCCATCTGCTTTTTCTTCTGCTCAACAAACACCCCATCCCAAAAAAAAAAAAAGTGTAGCTTTATTGAAAAAAACAGAGGTAATGGGGGAAAATTAAAACAAAACAAACCAGCAAAAGCATTTTTTAGCATACAACCCAAAAAAATAGCAAACAGAAATTGTTTTCCATTTATGGTCCTTATCTCACTAGATATACTAATGCAACACCTAGATGGAAATATCTATCTCTTTATGATAAGATATTCTTTTACTACTAATAACAATAATAACAAGCCATATCCCATTAAATGAGGTCAGTTACATTCTTCTACTACTAATAGTGAAGTAAAATTGGAGCCATTCAAGCATGAAACATACAGTAATTAAGATTTTTCGTCCTATTGCAAGAATTCTCCTTTGCATAACATAGTATAAATAGCTACTCACAAAACACAACTTAATGCAGGCCACCTTCCACTACCAACTTCTCTTTAAATTTGATGTTTATCATATTCCATAGGATACAGAAATATTATAAGGGATACCCAAGATTCTTCTGCTAAAGGGCGAAAAAATTAGTTTCTGATAACTTGCCTGAAGAACAACGGAGTTGATAACATCTGCATATCTGACTGCCAGGTTTAGTGACATACACCTAGCAGGTGCAATAGCAAAGCACCTGACCTTCCTCCTCTCAATATTTCCAACTCTATCACGATTCTGCACCACCAATATCGTCAACATTGATGCTACTCCTGATCCTAGGGAATGACCAGCAAAAGTCAGAGTGTAATTTGGATGTTTCTCTACCAACTCCCTCAAAATTTCACATTCAGCATCCAAAACCCATCCAGCTGCCTTCAGCAGACCATTGTGAACATAACCCCCATCAAATTTCTTCTTCCCCAGTCTGTTATCCAATAAAACTGCATAGTCACTCTCCTTTGCCAAATTTAACCCCCTGATAGCAAGAACTATATCAGCATGATCATGATCAAGATACAAAAAATAGGGAGGGGCCCGCCCTAGTGTATCTTCATGTGTCTTCTTGAGTATTAACCAATCAGGATTAATTCCATAGCCGCCAGGAGGTTCCCAAAGAGGATGCCGAATATCATCTTCATAGACAGCTAGAATATAGCGACAAAGGCGAGGAACAGGCTCAAATTCTTCTGCTGTAGCAATGCCCCAGGTCTCACTGTCATGGCCTGCAGTATGAAGACACCTTTTCCAAGCCCAGCGAGCACATGCCAGGCAATACACACACTCAACAAGAGGCAAGCCACACAGAATCGACATTGCTTTTACATAAACGGGAAACTTCTTGTACAGATATTGAAAAGAATAAAAAGGTTATTCCAATAATACAAAATTGTTCATCTCCTACAGAATGCAAATAATATACTTCCCCATGCCATATATCTTGAGAAAGGAAATTGGGCACGAAGTGAGAAGTCAACTCAGTGGATGGGTTCTGGCAATCCCAAACCAGATAATTTTGCTCGATGACCAGGAACAGAAAAGGACAGTTGATGCCTCAACCCATGTGATAAGAAGAAGACTAAACAGGGGGAAAAAAACAGATTCACACCACAAAGGGATTGCCGAAAATGCGCAATTTGAAGAATCCAGGAAACTCGAATAAAATTGCATGAGTTGACATTAAAGATGTTAAGAAATAAGAATGTCTTGAACACCAAGAAAATTATGCTTGACTACAGCGAAGCCTCAGTCAAAGATACTCAATTCACCGCAAATTCTACAATACATTGGGTAAGAGCAAGAAACAACCACCAAAGTGGAAACAAAAAGGGAAAAAACTCAGGATTCAATTCCACAGTTGACCGATGAACTCTAGAACTGAATACCAAACTCTCTGTGCAAACAAAGAGAAAATTTGACTTTTTCGTCGCCGGAACACGACCCAGATGAGCTTCTGATGTATGCAGCCAACCCGGATAGGGTAGTGATATAGCTGTACGATATATTTTTTTGTTTTTAAGAAATCGAATTAGAAGAAGAGGGAGAAAATATTGGATATAAAAGGAGAAAGGCTTTACCTGCAAGTCAAAGGTCGTACTCGAAGGTTTCGAGCTTCTTGGGTTTATTCATAGTTGAATGGAAGGAGAAGAAGATGACATGCTCAATGGTAAGAGAGTAATTAGTGTGGACTGCGATGGCACTTTATGGTTGGCAGGACTGGGACTTTTCGAGATCAATTCGTCCGAATCATAGAAACACACAATGATGACCAACTTGCCGTTCTGTTGGAGCCACAGCGAGTTCACTTTTAAAACCAGTTCTGTTTACTTGTTCATTTAATTTAGATTTAAATTAAAATTAAAGTTAAATTAAATTTTATTTTTAAATATAACGATGCAACTAACGCCAATAAAACAACTAAGTCAAGTTATAAACCATTTCATTTCAATTAATCATCTGCCTTAAAATGTTTGTATTACTGTTATCAATTTATTTTTTGAGAAAATAAAAAATAAATACAAGTATTTCTTTGGATTGGTATATAAAAATGATAATCATTTTACAAAAATATTAATTCTTATTTTTATTTAAAAATGAGTAAATAAACAAATTATTTTCTGAATTTTAAGTCACCACAAATCCTAAACTTATTTATTATGTAAATTATTACTTTAACTTTTAAAAACAATGCAATTTAATCCATGCAATTGACAAAAGTTTACTTTGATTGTTAATTGATTAAAAAAGGACATAAAATGATTTTAAAATTATAAAGAATGATCCGAAAATTATAAATAGGAATCCAAAAAATTACATACAATAACTTTAAAAAAAGTTGGCCCTTTTATGTAATTTTGAAAGTTCTTTTGAATCAATCTTTGGTTAAATAACAGTCAAAATTAACTTTTGCTAATAGCAGAGATCAAGTTGTACTGTTTTTAAATGTTGATGAAATAATTTACATAATAAATAAGTTTAGACTTTATGATACTAATGAATTTAAAATTTATAGGGTAATTTGCTCATTTACTCTTTTAAAATAATAATATTTATAATGTTTCTTACCAAATAAGTAGTTAATGAATCTAAATCTAAATATCTAAATAGTGAATATTTTATCTCAAAAACAATAAATATATGTATGTACAAAAGGTCAGAAAAACTTGAAAACGATTAACCGGCAAATCATTTTAAATAAATGTAACCATAGATCTAACTTTTCCAATTTTTTACACCGTGATCTTTTATTAAATAATTAATTAAAAACTATTTTGAATTTTGAAATTTAATTTATAACTCTGTTGTGTGTCTCTAAAAATATACAAAACAATACTGATATAATTTAAGTCTAAACTTCTATAAAACGCATAAATTGACTTTCAGTTCAGGGATTCCTACAAGTTGTACATGGTAGAAGAGCTCCAAGTTTAAACCTTGATCATTATGATTGTAACAAGGTTATTTTGGAAAAGTTACAATGCATGTGGAGTGTTGGAAATCTAAGTCAAGTATAAATACGTAGTACTAGGAGAGAAATATACTAGATCTAGGTACGAAGCAGATAACCTGATTACCCACATAGAGAATAGATTATTAGAGTCTTTATATAGATATATAAAAGGCACAGTAGATATATCTTACAAAAAAGAAGAGAGTGAATAGAAAATGGTATTCAATTTTGAAATGTGTTTTGCTTGAGGCAGCCACCGTAATCTATAGTGTGCGTGGATGGCACAAAATAGGAAATTGTATCAATGTAAATATTATCCATTATATGATATTATATATCCCATTAATTACAATAACTTAATAAATAAGATATTTAGGTTCAGTAAAAAATCAATCATCAATTAATTATTGATTCTAGTCAAAACTAATTTAACCATATATTAAATTAAATACCAATTAATTTAATATGCATATCTGAGTCCTAACAAGGATAGGTCTGTAATCTATTAATATCTCCCACTTTCATTGGACTATCATTGTATGGTCACCATATATCTCTTATTTCATCTTTGGTACTTTGCGGTGATGACATGGGCACGACATCTTTGTTTTGGGTATTCATGTATTAGAAATCTCATGATAAGCACACAAAAACATCTCTTTTGAATCAAATCTCTCTGAGTTAATAATCTCTTACTCAAATTGCTTCCATAGCACTTGCACCTAAAAGTTATCCTAATAGTTTGTAAGAGATATATCTCATACAGTAGCATTGTTGTGTACTTTGCCTTCAGGGTAAGTCTTTTTTTTTTTAAAAAAAAAAAGATTGGATATTAGTTATTTAACCCGTTAGAACGAATTAATTGTGACCATAGGATATAAGCTAGAGTAATTGTTACTAAATCAATCTCACGGTACTATTAGAGTCATAAGGGCACTATGATATGATTTTCTCCTTTTTGAGCGCACACAACAACGGAACAAGAATCTTTCTATTTTCTTTGATTATTAAGATCATATAAGCACATGTAATGTCAATTGCATGCTACAATGTTTTTCTTGACTCGTAAGAGTGTATGTTAATTTTAGTTTATCAACACTGTATAAGCTTAAGTTCTTGACACAAACAATATCCATCCTAAATAGGTTTTCTCGACATACTAATTAAATAAAAAATATTATAAAATTAGTAACATACATAAATGTTTTTGTTTAAATAATTTTAGAGTGCATTAAAATACATGAGAATCTGGATTTGAACCAGACCCTCCATTTGAATACATACAAGTCTTTGAATTTGGATTCGATCCAAATCAAATTCATGTTTTATTATAACTTTTTTGTAATTTTCAATTCTCTTAAGATTCTAGTTATTTGAAATTATAGTTACTCTACTCCTATTTCTTTCTTCATATTTTTACTATTGATGCCTCTGTTATTCTCACTACTCATCTCATCTTTCATTCTTACCTCTCACTAATTGATGAATATAGATAAACCTATCAATTTTGATCTTTTGTTTTTGTTTCAAATATCAACTTGTCTCTCTTTTACTTTTAAAATTTTGTATAATATTCAAACAAAAGATTTTATATAAATGAATTTTATATGTAAAATTTTAAATATAAAAATTAAATTTAAATCCATCCATCCAAAGACTACCTTATGAATCTCAAATATTTATATCGGTGTGATAAAATAAAAAAGAATATAATTTAATGCTAAAAATTCTCCTTAATAATTTGATTTTTAATATTTAAAAATTTATAGTTTACTCATTAAAATTAAAAATAAATATCAATTAATATTAACAATACTATTAATTTTAAATATAATTTATTAGCTTAAAATTTTAATTAATTTATTAGATTAAAATATATTTTCATTATTAACTATTAGTTAATTAATAAAAATTGATATTTAGCTTAAATTTGATCGTTAATTCAAAATTATTAATTGATAAGCTAAATATCATGTTTTTAATTTTTTTTTTGATATAATAAATATCATTTTTATTAATTAAATAATAATCAATAATGAAAACCTATTTTAAATTGCCTGGTTAAATTTTTATTTTTAATTTAGAAAATTGTGTAATGAATATATTACAAATGAATTATTTAAAAAATGTAAAATAAAATTAATATATATGATTAGTATAAATTAAAAAGTTTTTATCTATCCTATATAACCTTTTTCCCAGGGAATGGGGTTCCAGTGTACTGTATACAAGCATCACACCCCGCACAAGCACACATCACGCGCCCCCACACACACAGACACACACATTCTTCGACCATTTAGAGATATGATTCTAGAACCCCTTATGTCAAGGGATATGGATCAAGACAATTGAGAGCTCTTGGGATATAATTTGAAAAAATACAAATGGAATATAATTTGATTAGATATATTGAATAATTAGTTGTTTAAACAGAATCCCTTATGTCAAGGGATATGGATCAAGACAATAGAGAGCTCTTGGGATATAATTTGAAAAAATACAAATGGAATATAATTTGATTAGATATATTGAATAATTAGTTGTTTAAACAGAATCCCTTATGTCAAGGGATATGGATCAAGACAATTGAGAGCTCTTGGGATATAATTTGAAAAAATACAAATGGAATATAATTTGATTAGATATATTGAATAATTAGTTTTTTAAACAATCAATGGAATGGATTATAGTTAATATTATTTTCTGAAATAAAAATATAAATAAATAGTAATTTAACATATTTATTTTTGGGTATATCATGATAAATAAAATAAAGGTTTTACCATGCTATTTGGGCCCAAACAAGTGGGCTGACCCGAACCGAAACGTTCAACCCATCTTTTTTCCACTGCCCGGTTCTCTGCGTTTCCCTGACCTACGCCTTCACTATAAAAGTAAACAAAAACCCTAATCTTCCATCTTCAACCTCAGTAGCAGGTGCGGGTACGCTGCGGTCAATTTCGTCGATTTCTGATACTGTCTCTACATATACCGTTCATGTATATGTCTTTTTTGTTTTCGTCCTTGTAGCTTTCATGTTATGATGCTGCTTCGCGGCAATTTCTTAGGATTAGTTTAACTATTGTTGATGGGTAGGCGGGTTCGAATCTATGATTCCGTTTTGCCCTGTCCTCTTACGTTCTTGTTTCAAGCAACAAAGTGTGCATTGTTCTGAACTAAACGCTTTTTTTTCAAGGCAATGGCTCCGAAACAGCCGAGTACGGGTTTATTCGTTGGATTGAACAAGGGTCACGTTGTGACCAAGAAGGAATTGGCTCCTCGCCCGTCAGATCGAAAAGGGGTACGTTGACATCGTATAACATAAATGTTTAACTCAATGTTTAGATTGGTACACTCTACGACCAAATATCCACGGTGTTTAGATTTTGTAGTCTTTCTCGCTGGAGTGAATAATGTGTTAGGATTAAATTTTCATACTAGGTGATGAAGCAGCTCATCGAGTTGTCCAACTTGTATGATTGCTGTGATTGTTAACTGATCAACAATTAATAATAAAAAGAATGGCATTGATGAACCAGCTTTTTGAGTTCTCTTGAATCGCTCTAGGTTTGCGCCATGTGAAATTAGTTTCCCAAAATTGGAGTACTCACAATACTAATAATTAACAAAATCTGTATTGTCACTTTGATTTGTTTAAATTTCTTCATCCTACTTCATTCTTTCAGACCTTCAAAAAATATCCAGTTTCATTCCTCCATGATTCTGCTTTAAGGAAATATGTATACTGTGATTTCCAAACCTTGTCTTGCCGTAGTCTTAGGATATGGTTCCTTCACCTTGTTTTTTTATGTCGCCAAATTCCAATGTAATTTTTGCTACCATCTATCAAATGGAGAGTATAGACAGAACAAATCATTATGAATGCTAAATCCTTTGATCGTTCTTGTAGAATGAAAGGGTTTCTAATAGGTTGAAAACATTGATTACCTTGACTTTCTCTAACTTGGCGATCACAATTATTTTGACCCAAACAGAAAACCAGCAAGAGGGTACACTTTGTAAGGAACATTATACGTGAGGTTGCTGGCTTTGCTCCCTATGAAAAGAGGATTACAGAGCTTTTGAAGGTTGGCAAGGATAAGAGAGCATTGAAAGTTTCAAAGAGAAGGTTGGGTACCCATAAGAGAGCTAAGAAGAAGCGTGAGGAGATGTCTAATGTGCTCCGAAAGATGAGGTTGGCTATGTTCTTGTCTTGATATTATCATATCATATATTTTTTTCTTCCTGTTGGTAGATCTGTGGATATTGACTGCTGTTATTTACCCTTATACAGGGCTGGCGGAGCTGGTGACAAAAAGAAGTGAGACCCGGCTTCTCTAACTCCAATTTCACTAGTGTGTGTTATGTCAGTTCCTGTAGTTTTACCCCCCTTGGTTTTGTTTAATTCGTTGTCCCAGTGGGAGACTTGTTATACTTTCAGAAATATTGGTTTTAGACTGAGACGTGACAAATGGCAGTTACCATAGTCATGCTTTTTCTTGTTTTGAAGTCTTGGCAAATATTGCGTAGCCATTTTTAATATTCAGTTGGTGTCTGCCTGATGATGAATCAAATCAAACTTAATTACCTTAGGATTTGGCCTGGGTGGTCATCACTGTGTGATGAGATCTGAACTATTTAGATTTTAATCTGGATGGTCCAGATTTAAACTATTATTATATATTATATTTATTAAAATAAAAATTTAAAAAATTATAAAATAATTTTAATAAATTTTTTTTATTTTTAATATGGTCTAAATTTAATTTGAAGGGTTCAATTTAATATTGAAATTTTATACTTGATATATATTGACTATTTAGATGTATTCTTTACAATTCATATTAACATCAAATTAAAGCTGGAGTGTGCAGCATATTTGGATAATCAATGTATATTAATTATAAAAATTTTAATATTAAATTAAATTTTTTAAATTAAATTTAGATCATATTAAAAATAAAATATTTATTAAAATTATTTTATAATTTTTATAAATTTTTATTTTAGTAAAATAATATATAATAATAGTTTAAATTTAAATTATTTAAATTAAAATTTAAATAGTTTAGATTTCATTACATAATGAGCATCATGCCCTATCATCACTGTGATGAGCAGTGTGAGCACCTCCAATTCCCTTTACACGGGTCTAAGTTAGTTGACGACGTTTCCTAACAGGGGACGTTCCTATTGGTGCTGTGATGGTGTACTAATAATGCGTCTTTATTGACGATATTTCCTAACCACGCTATGTTCCTTATGCGTCTTTGCTAACGACATCTTTGCTCGGTGAATTTTAAGTTCAGAGCTTGAGAAATTTTATTCACTACGCAATTGGAGCAGGTAAATTTGTGACGTGGATGAAGTGTCCTCTATTTTACCTAGTCTTTGGTTGTGAAAGAGAAGTATTGTTTTAAAAATCAGATTGATCTAGACGGTCAAATTAGTTGAACTGTTGATTGGAGCTATTAATAATTTGGTTGGAATAAAAAAAAATTGTTTTTATAGTTGAGTCAGATTGAATTGGAGTTGAGTCACTATTAAGTTAGAAATTGGAGTTCAATTGAGAATTGAAATGATTTTTAGAAAATCAGTTGGTTTTGAACATAATATTAAAAAAAATATTAAAAAAAAAATAAAATAAATTTAAAAATTAGATATCTACTGAAAGTTAACTTTATTTTTAAATAATTTACATGTATAAAATATAATTTGATATTTTTTTATAACAAATATTGATAATTATAGATGCAAATATAAATACTTTGGAGTTTACTTATATTTAATATAATCAAAATTTACCTATATTTAATAAGTTATAAAATTATAATTTATAATATTGTTAATTTACGGTTACATTATGTCATTTTATTGACAATAGACATATTGTAGATTTGTTTTGTACATTTATTTTATACATACATTTAATATTATTTTTATTTAATTATTATATCATGAGTTCAATGGCTAATATAATTGGTTAGACCCTAAAAATTAAGAATCACCAACTTTTTTGATTCAACATTTGGTTTGGCTTTTCAAACAATGAAGGGAAGGGCAGGGAAAGTCTTTGCCACCCTTATATTTTGAGAACCCACAAAAAATGTTTTGGGGCCTTGGTACATACAAAAGTAGGGTGAGTGATGAACACTTTCATTATTTAAAAAAGTAGTTGGAGGTAAGAGTTTTAATTCTTGTATATATAATAATTTAATTGAAAAGATTATCTATTACTTTCAAAAAGATATTCTCTTTTGCAGATGGAATCTACTATTTTATTATTGCCAAAAAGAAATGGATGGTAGATGAATTTATTGAACTGCATAAACCTTATAAAACCTTTTAATTACCATCGTGCCCTTTATTTTAATAAAGAATTATAGCATGTTTTCACTTGGGGGTTCTGCTCTTTCCTCAAGCTCTGGACTCTAATTTGATAAGAGTATAATAGCTAATTTATTATTAACTCCTTCATTTTCCAAACTAAATAAATAATCATTAAAATTCCTAACTTCTTTTCCTTTTCATTAAAATCCTTCCTCTCCATTAAACCACAAACAGTATTCAATTTGGAACTACAAGGGTCAGGTTTATTTTCTTTGTCAAGAATTAAAAAAATGGGGTTCCCCTACTGAAGTACGATAGAGCAAAAACCTAGCAGTCCATTAACTGCAAGTAAGCACCTTTAGGTAGTGTTTGGATTTAAAAATTTAAATTTAAAATTTGGATTTCAAATCTTATATTTTAAATCCCACATTTCAAATCCATACCTTTCAGATTCTTTGTTTGGATGTTTAAATAATTTCAAATTCCAATATTAAAATTCTTTATTTGGATTGTACAAAATTTCAAATAACCATAATTAAATTTTATTTTTTTTACTTTCAGAAAAATTATATTTTTATTGTTTTGTATTTAAATTATCAACCAAAATTGATCCTCCATCCATATTATCCTAATTATTATTTTTTAGAAAAACAGATCAATTGATATAGTACCAAAATATTCAAGTACCAAAATAAAGTATGCTCAATACTAATAAAGCAAAATGTAGAAACACTTATATAGAAAAAACACAAAAATCTTCAACTACAAATCAGTTCTAGTGTAAGAAAAACTTATATTGTTCTATCAACTTGATATTCATTCCACATTTGCATTGCTAAAGTATCTCTAAATATTGTCCATTCATGTGTTACTTGAATATTCCTAATATTCTCATCATCTCCAATTTCATTTTCAACCTTCAAAGAATTTTCGACTTCATCAACTTTTCTATGTAAGTCATCTTCTGACATCTCTTCTCTTACAAAGTTGTAAAGAATAAAACATGCATCTATAATTTCAACTTGAGTTTACTTATAAAAAAAGCTAACAATTAGTAAAATAACCCATCGCTTCTTTAATAACCCAAATGCTCTTTTAGTGGTATTTCTTGCTGATGAATGTTGACAATTAAATAACTCTTTATAATTTGTTAGTATGTTTCCTCTTTATAAATTAAGATGCTACCTTATTCCTCGATATGAAGCTAAAAAGCCCGGACCATTCACACACCTAGCATCTACTAGATAATACCTATCTACAAAAATATTAGAAATAACTAGTTTGTATTTTGGACACAAATAACAATTTCAATTAAACTTGCTACAGATGAATTTTTTTTTTTTCTAATTCTTCTTCCCCCTCAATCATGCTCTTTCCATCTCTTGTACGCTTTCTCCGAGTTTGCATATTTTGTTAATTAGTATCCATATTGAACAAACTACCTGTCATATGAAAGTAGTACTCTAGCATCAAAAACACCATTGGCATAACAAGGAAAAAATAATACTATAACTAAACAGGGAAAAAGCATAACATTGGAAAAACAATCACCTCCAGTGTCCAAATTCTTGTTTATTGTATCAATTCTAAGTTATATAGAGACTCCTCCATGGTGCATAATGCTTTTATTAGTAGCCTTATAATAATGCATGGAAGATGATGTTGAGAAAATTTTAATGCATACATTTTTCAGTTTTCTCATTATCACTCTTTGTCTAAATTTAATTACAAACTTTTGGCTAGAAATTCTGATACTGGTAAAGACTTTGAAGTATTGAGCATCAGAATAATATATTACACAATGCTAATTTAATTACACCACTGTTACTTGGAATGTCAACAATTGCAAACAAGTCATTCTATCAATTCAGGGGATTTAGGCAGCTCAGCCACTTGGCAAAATCAACAACTTTTATCAGTTAATTCCACCTATATACATGGCATATATCAGCTCTAACTTTTAAGACATTGACTAACTTTTTAATAATCAAGCCTATTTTCAAATGCAATGGTGTACTGGAGGCCAGCAAGATGACCCACACTTGTCCAAATATCTCTCAAATGCCCAATTGAAACACCCAAAAAAACTCTGAAACTGAACATCTTCTAACAACAAGACACTCCACGATACACATTAAAAGCTTCAACATTCAATAATTAGGACTAGAAGTACAACTGCACGCACATTTACTACTAAACAGCTCTCTCTCCTCTTTGAAGAGGGCTACATCCACAAAAAAAGGTAGGTACACAAGCAGCATAAGAGTACAAGAGAAGCAAGAAAACAAGCAGATACATCATTGGAAGCTATCACACTTCCGCACTTCCACAGCACCTTTCCCTGAAAAATATATATATATATATATATATATACTTTGTCTTGCTTATTATTCCCTGTGGGATTTATAGCATCACACATCCTAACATTACAGAGGAATGTGAGAGAAAAATGTCCAAACTAACAGAAAATCTAGAGATGATTAGGTATCTGATATAAGCTAAGATTCAACATTAAAACCTGAGAACTTGTATCTGATATGATCCATTATTTTATTTCTATCATGCACGTCTGTCTTCTCTATTCCTATGGTGGACTGACTAGCCCCTATTTGCATTGCTTCCCTGCTCACCTTCTTCCATTTTCCCTCTTTTCCACCTCTATTTATATATATGTTGTGCTTTTTGCCTCTCAAGCAGCTTTTACTTTTCAAGTTTCAAATGACTACCCATGCCTCTTCTATTCTTAATTAACTTTTGATCCATTCCTACTGTCACAAGGAATAATAATTAACAAACGAAAAAACTATATAGAAAGCCGCATGCAAAGGCCACTGATATTCAGAATATCAACACACCATACATGTGAAGCATTATTCATTGACTGTTAGAATAGAAAACACAAATTCATCTAACACCAGATCAAATAGCAAAAACAATTAAGGAGAGAAATCTCAAATACGGCATAAATCTTAGAACCAGTTCACCCAGTTGATATAGATTTATTCAATCCAAAAACATACTTGGGGAAGAAGAGACTGAAGAGGGTAGTGATGATGTGTAGATGGAACAAAGTGAGGTTGAAAAGAAGCTTTGATAGATGAGGGAAGCATAAGATTATACTCACCTCAGTGAGAGAAAAGAATGGAGGTAACAATTGGGAATGACAACACCAAAGACGAGAACAAGGAAGCGATTGAAATGCCTGAGTTGAGAGTGAGGCAGCAATCAAGAACACAATGTGAGGCGAGAGACTCTGAAGATTTGAAATAATAGAATTTCAGAGTATTTTAAATTATGAAGAAATATGAAGGAATTTGGTTTTGTATTTGACCCAAATCCAAATCCATAAAATTTTAAGTATTCAAACAATGAATTTGACCCAAATTCAAATTCAAGATATCCAAACCCAGCATTAAAGTTTAATCAATCATTCCTCTATTCCTCAACCCACAGCATGTCGGGTAACACATTGACAAACTACAGAACGGGAAAACAGTGAAGAAATAAATGAAGTTGGGCTTCATTGGCAGGACAACGTTTGGGGTTTTATTATTTTGAAACTATGGACTAGTGTTCTTTACATGGTAAAGATTTGGTACAGAAAATCCCCCAATGATATGTGCTGCAATGCCGAAAGACACCGTCAAAATACATGAGATTATTGTTACACTTGATTTCCCCCTACTCTCAATTATACAAGGCATCACAAGAACTTGTGAACTTACCAGCGGCAGTTCTTTAGAATTAGAGCCGTCAATTTTCCAGGGGCCATGTCTGGTACACAAGGTATACCCACCATCGACTAAGTAGATAAAAGGTACATCACTGGCTTGCGGCTATTTCTAGTAACTATTGTTGTAGGTGAAAATTAAAAATTATGTCTTGAACTTTTGGGTTAGTTTCTCAACCCCCTCCCTCCAATCTCCAGCAACTCGCTTTGCCCCTTCTTTCACAGAAAATCCAAATTCGACCGCACTTTGCTGCAACTCTTGCACTGACTTGGCTGCCTTGGCAACAGCAACTTCTCCTAATTCTTCAGCTTGTTTCCCAGTTTTGGATGCCCATTGCTTCAAGTTTGACAAAAAAAGAGAAATCATGTGGACAATCCTTTCAATTACACCTCTAGATTTCCCTCCAACATCAGCTGCCATTTTTTTAAGTTTGTCCAGTAAGTTCTCAGCCCTGTCAACTGTTTCTTCAACTGAAAATTGCTTTCCTGCATTGAGCCATGTAACGTCAGCAGAGGCCTCTTTGCGGAGATCATCATCAACAACCACTTTAATGCCGTGCCTCTCCCAACGTTCCCGAGCCTCTTCCAAGGCTCTTGCATGTTCCCTTACTCGTTTGGCCTCATCCTCTGCCCAAGTCCTAGACACATGATAACCATGCTTATATCAAGATGAAGCATAATGATGTTTCTATGTTTAGGTTACCAGGAATCAGAATTACAAAATATGCCAAATACATGAGCAGCATTGCCCTATTTTGCATGCCAAATCAGTTTACAATCTTGAAAAACTACAGTCAGGGAGAAGAAAAATGCAAAGAACTAATCATATTGATTTTGACATTCAACGTCAATTAACATCAGTGATTACTTCTTTTTTGAAAAATCACTTAGATTTGAATAACAATGTTGCAATGAGACATGGGAATTTAAGTACATAATGTAAGAAACCAAAAGCATTTACAAATAACTGGATCAGTTGATCTCTAGACACTTCAGCTGTAAGGCATACGACAAGACACGGAGTAAATCTGCAGAACATGAAAAATATATATATATATATATATATATATAATAACTCTTCCAAAAGAGCAGGAATTGATTTGCCTAAAACAAATAACTAAATGTCAGTATCAACTGCAAGGAGCAAAAGTGGAAACAAAGTATAATAAGCAGCCCTCTTGCATCATCTTCATTTAAAATTCACATTAATTGAAACCAAAATTGAATCATTGAAAGCTGACCAAACAATTTAATTGCCCCTAGAGTCCCACAAGCTTACCTGGCCATGGACAAGGCTTTTCGTTCCACCTCTAGTTCATATTGTAATCGGGCAATCTCCTTGTTTTCAACTTCTTTTTGCTCACGAAGCTTGATAACCCTTTCTTTTTCATATGCTATTGCCACCTTATCATTCATAAGACTCTGTAACTGATCCTCAACCTCATTTCTTAGCCTTGAGTAAACCTCCATTTCTGATTCAATAGCAGTGCGCTCCTTCATCAAGGCATTATTTTCTTCTTCTCTCTCAGCTCTTAACCTTTCCAACTCTCGTGCTGCCTCTTCAGCCATTCTTTCAACAGCATTAATCTTCTCCCTCTCAAAAGAAAGCTCCTGTTCAAAACTTGCATTGATATCCTTCTCAACTTCAGCTACCAAAGCACTATGAGCTGCAACAGCATTTTCAGCTATAGATTCTGCTTCAATTCGTGCAAGCTCTTCACTAACTATGTCACAAGCATCTCCTGTTGCAAGGGCAACAGCCGCTTGGGCTTTTGTTACTGGCTTATCTGGCTGGAACAGCCGTGTATAACCTTGAACATGTCCCCAAAACAAAAAAACAAAAAACAAAACACAAAACAAACAAAACAAAGAAACAAGGGAAAGCCAAAGCCAAAAGCTGGTAAGAAATTTCCCAAAAAGAAAGAACAAGAAAAGAAAAAATATAGGGCCTATTTGAAAACCTGTTTTGAGAACAGTTTTCTGTTCCTTAGAACAAGAGAACAAAAAAATCAGTTTGGTAACGTGTTTTCAAAAAGTGTTTTGAAGAACAAAAAAACAAAATATTGTTCTGGAGAACAGAAAAATGAAAACAACTTTTAGGTGTTCTGTGATTATTGTTCTGGAGAACAAGGCAAAATGAAAAAAACACTTATTTTCATTATTGTTTTGTTTTCAAAACATGTTCTACAAAACATCAGTTCTCAGAACAATAAAATAAAAACAATTTCAAACAGCCCCATATATTTCAGTAAAATAACCAAAACAATCATTATGAACCACATGATGGAACATTTTAAAAAGACTAAATAGAAGGAGAAAATGACACACCAAATGCAAGAGCTATTATTCCTTGCTCCCCAGCAGATATGTCAGCTACAAGCGCAGGGCATGCATCAACATGTATCTTGTCAGTGTCTATAAACCCAGAAATTTGGTACAGAGTCTGCCCATCAGTCCATGCAATTGATGCATGCTAATTCATCAGTTACATGATAACTAGAATAAGAGAAATAGTCTATATGTGAGACCAAGCAACAAAATAACAAACCTTTCTGTCAGCTTCAGGAAGTTGTCTCTTCTCCAGGGCCCTTTTCCAGCTAACAAGATCCTGGCGTGATAATGGGCTACATAAAAGAACAAGGGAAAGGCAAAACCGTACGGTTAGATTTTGTTGGAAGTCAGCATTATTGGTTCTTACTGGGAGTATCCCATAAGCTAGTTTATTCCATTTAATCCTAATAATTCTATTTTTATTAGATTCAATTGTATAGAATTTAACTATTTATGATTATTATTTTACTTTATCCTTTGTAAACCTAGCAGCTGCCTATATATGCATCTTTACCCAATGGAATAAACTAAAGCAGAGTAACTTTACCCCTGCCAATTACACTATTATAGATTTAAACATAAAAGCACATCTATAACGAAAGCAAAGACAAAATAGGAAGACATATTGTGAATACCAGTTAAAATTTTACGAACATCTATAGATAATTGCATTTCCTCAAAGGAAAAAGGTAACTACAAATCAGACATCCAAGTTTAGTAAAGCATACCTTTCAGGTGAGAAGCAAAACGGGCTCTGGCCTTCATCTGCGGATAACTGTGTATCCAACCTTGAAAGCCTGCTTTCAATCAGTCCAGCTTCTGCCAAGCCTGAAACAACATAATGTTAAGACATGATATCATAGAAGAAAGTCATTTCTAGCGGTAAGTTATGCTGTTTAAACACCAAGTTATAGTAACTGATTCTCACCTTGTATAGAAGAAAAATCAGGGTCTTCAGGAGTGATATCATCAAAAGCAAGCTCAGTAACATTCTCTATATACATGGCAGGATAGACTTTTGAAATTGTGCTCCTAAACATAACAAAAAAACAAAAAAGACATTTAAATCCACAATACACGCACTGAAAAAAAGTTAGCCAAGTCCATTCCTTGCTATTCACATGTTACAGTTGTAGCAACAAGAAACCCCAAAAAAAAAAAAACAAAAAAACAAAACAAAACAAAAATACCTTGAAAGGACACTGCTAGCAGAGACCAACCAACGAGCATATTCACGACGTGTGCATAATTCACTGGCTTGAACATAAGGTTCAATGACCTGTAGATTTAGTCAATTTTAAGTAAACAAACGTAAAATCTTGTCATCTTAGTATGATTATACACTGACATTGTCAAGGAATCATATCACTCAAAAGCTTAAGCTGTTGGGAGAATCCCAAAATTAGTTTTGACCTTTTGATCTGTTTCTTAAACATAAAGCCATATGTGAATATCCTTTGGGCTTGAAGCACAGATTAAGTATTGGCCCACCAATAACTTGCACTGAAATTTAATTTAATTAGAAAACTACTACCTTCGTTCTAAATTATAAGACAATTTGAAACAAGATAACGTATGCCAATAAAGCTCAATAATGACACTTTACAAACTTACTTTTTTGAAACAAAAATATAAACTTTCAAAAATACCCTTCATTTAATACAACTTTAAATCTATACAATGAATCATTACACTACAATCATCTTAATTCTCTCTCCTCTTGAAGGGTAATATTGGAAAAACATCATTAATGAAACATTATTTTTTATCAAATTGTCTTATATTTTGGGACAATGAAATATCTCCAAAGTTGTCTTATAATTTAGACCAGAGGTAACAGTAAACTCTTGGCCATTTGGTATAAACCATTTTTACTCAAGTTGGAAGTGTTAAGATAAGGCTAAAGAAACGTCCTAATCTAAACATCTAATAATCATATATAGATATCTTACGAATAAAAAATAACAATAGTAAATAAGTGAAATAATTACAATGAATCTGTTAAAAAGTAAAGAGCAACTTTTAAGATTCTTGGCAGCATTCATTTTTCTTCAGAAAATTATTACGGAGTTACTATCCTTTAAGAAAAAATGAGGGCAAGGATATACCTTTAATGCTTGCAATGCTGCAAGTGCTTGGCCCTGAAATTGATCAACAGCTGCAGGAACTAGAACCTTTCCAGGAGGCACAGGCACAGCTGCTGAAACTATTGATGGAGCAGGAATACCCGGAGAACAGAAAAAGACTCCAGAATTAGGAGGTTCAGATTGAATTCTATTTGTCTTAATATAACTGTCCCTATCCAGATCCTTGTCAGAAATCTGCTCTTGCAACGATGACTCATTTTCATCAGCTGTGACCTGTAGCATTTTGTTCAAGTTCTCTATATCATTTTGAGGAAAAAATTCAGGATCTGGAATGGTATTTGTATGTGTATTGACCGCAACATTAACAATGTCGCTATTATTGGGTAGTTCAGCAATGGAACTAGAACTATTTGGAAATGTGGAACTTCCACTGCCACTTGAGCTAGTCAGTTTATCCTTCTGCTCCATATTGAGGGGTATTGAATCAGCATCATAGCTGTTCCCTGGTTCAACATTGAGTGGGCTTTCTTCAAGTTCAGCAGTTGATACTGCAGAATCTATAGCATGGTTGCTATCCAAGTCTTGACGTCCAAACTGATTAGAAGAGTGAACAGCTTTTTCTGATTCAGAAAGGTTAACTGGCCCAGGATTGGCAACGGGGACAGCTAAGTCATTGTCAAAATCTGGCTCATGTGGCAAAACTTCTTGAGTTGATGCATTAGTAGTGGCATCAATACCATTGACAGACTTTTCATGATCATATAACAATTGGGAACCTGAATCAGAATCATCAGCAGTTCCAATGTTGCTAGGAATCTGACCAGACTCAGGAGCTATACAATCCCTGGAGATATCTATTTGATCTTCTGTGTTGCCATTTTCTTGTTCCACTTTGTTGTTTGCATTTACATGTTCCATAACTTTATTATTGTGATCATCAGAAGTCAAAGCCACCTCCTGCTGTACTGTCAGAGGCTCCATTTGTTTCTGCTTTGATCCTGCAAACAGTCATACAGACACTAGTATGTTTAATATGTAGAATCTAAATTTGATCATGTAATGGCATGATCTAAAGAAGTAAATGGAAAAAATAGTCTGAAATTCTCACTGCAGGTGTATATAGAATGTGGCAATTCCATGATTATTTATAGAAACAAGGGTGGCACCTCCAGGGAAAAATTATAATCAGGAATATTAGAGAATAATAACACATCTAAGATAGAAAGAACTGGAGATTACAATATCTACAATTCTAACAGACCTAAGGCTCTCTCTCAAGACAGTGAATTGATATCCTCCATGTTAAGCTGGACGATTAAGTTCTAAAAGAAAACACTAAGTAATCCTTTTTGAATCACATCTGCAAGTTGGTCACCAAAAGAAACATAACAATAAAGGCCACAAATGGCAGAAAAAACAAAATGTTGCATCCCATAAACAGTGAAGGCTATGGACAGTAAGAAAAGGACCTAGTGACAATGGAAACAACTGATGAAAGCCATAAACGGCAAAAAGTTGTCTTGGTAGCAATACAGGCAGAGAAGATATCCAATGAAAATGAAGTTCATGAATAAAACAGGCAAAAGGCAATGAAGATCATCAAGAGTGAAAAGGTAGTGTTGCAATATTGATGAAGGTCACAAAAAGGGAAGAAAGGTTTTGACAATCAAGGTCATGACTTAGAAGGGAAAAATGGCAAAGAAGGCCATAAATGTTACAACAATAGGCCAGTCTTTTCTCCAAGCATTTGCCAGAAAGGCCAATGATTTTTGGTGTTTCATGGTTGAGTTGATGGCACAAGTTGGTAGCTTGTACATTTTTCATCCAACAACCTCAATTTATTTTGTTGAGGCGGCTTTGGAAGGTGACAAAAGGTGAAGAACAAAGGATGTCATGTCACTGACCAAAAAATCATGAACAGAGGATTACAGCATCAAAAACCACAAACAAGGCCCAATTAAGGCAGGTGAATGACTGGGATGGACTAAATGAAGGTCAGTGACCACTTCTTGGCAGATGACAGATGCAGGAAGAGCACCATATGCTCTCATGTGCCAGTACTTGGGTGGTTATTCAAACAATGTTGAAGTGGAGCGTGACAGCACTTGTGGAGTGCAAAGGTGGTTTGATCAACATAGGTAAGCCAGTTGGCAAGTTTTGTGGACGTTGATGTGCTTAGATCAAAAAGGACTAGGCATATGCAGAAGCTTGCTTCAATAGCAATGAAGGATACAAAAAGATGTAGGAAAGGATAGTGAAGTTAAAAATTGCATCACTAGAAAAGGCTGACTGGAAGAGAAGGATGGGTAGATCTTTGCCAAGTATATAGGCAAAGCTCCAGCCCTGAAAACAATCAAGGCTTATGTCTCTATCTAACCATGCTCACATACTATGACAAAGGGTTTGAAATTCTCACTTCAGATATACATAGAATGAGGCAATTGCAGAAGTGTCTACAGGCAAAAAGGGAGGCAACTCTAAGGACATTATAATTAGGGACATTAGGGAACAATGAAATAATTAAAATATAAATAACTGAAAATGACATCATTTTCAATTCCAACATTTATAAAAGGTAATGCCAACTTATAAACCGTATGACACAACTTCATAACAAAAAAGCAAATGAAGACAACTTACTGGAAATATTTTGCTTACTGACAGAAAATGCTGCAAAGGTCAACCCTGTAAGAAGAAGAACTCCAGCAACTCCTGCTCCCACAACTGCTAAAAGCAAGCTACATCAAAAGTGATAAGTAGTCTATTGAAATAGATGACAGATGAAGCTGTGGAACTTCTAAGTCTAGCAAAATGTCATAGCTTAGTAAACCTTGTCTTGTAAATTGAACTTCTGACCCCAACTTCATGTATTTTTTCTGCTAACATCTAGTGGAATAAGGTTTGTTGTTGTTATTATTTGTTGAAACCTATTCTACACATATATAGGAATGTTATTAGCAGTGCTCATTCTCTAGCAAGGAAAGGACATGATTTGGAGAGACCCTATTTTATCTTTGATCATTCCCCACCTTGGATTTCTGAAGGAGGTCAATGATGACTAGTTGGTCTCTCTTCTTAGGATGTTGTATTAGCTTTTATTTCATTTTATGAATGCATTGCAGTTTCGATTCCAAAAAAAAAAAAAATCTATTCCAATAACCCAGCGCTCTCCAGTTCAGAATAAACTTAGTCAGAATGCAAATTAGTCTAATAACAAAGCGATCCCAGTAAGGGCAGCATAGCAAGTATGCATTTCATATGCAGATAAAAAGAGCACGATTTTACAAAATCTTGTCAACCACCGGTTCCGAAAAAGATTATGTAAGAGCCTTTAATAAGATAATATATATATATATATATAACACGCCGAGAAGATAGATATTCAGAGACAGATGTCATAAAAGAACTCTGCTCAACACAATCCCTTCGATATTGGAATCTTCACATCTTGACGTTGAGCCAGCCGCTAATAAGTAGACAATGTACCCTATGAACTATTCCAAACCTTTTCCAATGTTTTCAGCTGCCATAAAAAAGTATAGAAAGATCAAATCAAATAGAGTTCCAGAACTACCCTCACCTCCGTATGACGCCTTGTGAGAATTGGCAGACTGTTCTTCACCCCCCGAATTGGACCACCCAGAGAAGCTGTCAACCTTCGAATCCTTCGCGACCCACGAACCCTCTCTAGGAGCCCTCTCCAATCCATTCCCATTAGCCCCTCCATCTTGAGCAACACACAGCACGCGAAACCGACGGTCCCACTTCCCCACTCGTGACTGTAAAATTGCCGGGAATTTCCTCCGATTCCCACATTTCAAAGCTAATCGGAGCTGGGGAGAGCTAGGAGACCACGAAACCATGATCGAAGCCATGACGGATTGAACCTTGTGGGAGATGAATACGAGAAATGAGCAGAGAAAGGGAAGGCCTGCGTCTGGCAAAGAAAATGCAAAATGGCGTTCCAAGAAAACTAGGCAAGATAGAGGATTAAAGTGAAGATAAATGGAGATTACATCAAAGGTATAATTATATCGATAGGTATATACTTGCCGTTCGGATTCCCCTCTCCTTCACTATCTCTTGGTTGATAACATATGCGTGTTTTCCAGTTTAATTTTGCGTTGGAATTGTGGGCTTGAAGTCTTGAACAAACCCAAAAAAAAAAAAAAAGGAAAAAAAATTGATGAAAAAGAAAAACCCAATGAAATATAAAGTAAGGAAGATGTTGATTAATCCAACACCGATGTGTAATTGTGGATTCTCTTGTTTTTGTTATTACCATTAGCAGAGACACATAAACGTGTAACGTGTCTCTGCTGATAATGTGTCTCTGCTGATAATGAAAAAGAGAATCCACAAGATTATATATTTTTAATTATAATAGAGTTCCGTGTTGGATTTTTGGTAACTATTTCATGGTTATTAGAAAAATTAATTTAAACTTTAATTTTTTAAAAAAAGGATTATACATTTTTAATTGTATTCTCATTAAATATTTTATATGTTTCAATAATTATAATTGGAATTTTAATGAACCATCTTTTTAAAAGATAATGAATGGCAAACATCCTGAAAGATATTCCTCCATTAAAAATTGTAGAATGTAAGACATTTTTAATCGAATCACATATCCTAATAAAATAGTTACCTATTTTCTAATTAATCCTATCTTTTCATGTTTATTTCTATGAGACACCCTATAATAAATATAAAGTCATTTATCAATAAAAGCACTTTTAAAAAAAGGGTAATGATTACACCTTAAAAGATTAAAAATGCCTTACATTTTTAAACATTTAATTCTTCAAAAAATGCCTTACATTTTTTAATAGAGGGAGTATTTATTAAGGCCATTCTAACAAGTGACATTTGTTACTCGCCCTTTCTCTCAAACAATTTGGTTGGGCCATTTCAACAATGCTAAATTAATGTGTTTTTAATTGTAATGATGAAGAATCTATTAATTATATTTTCATTATTTTTCCTTTCTCCCGAGCAATTTGGTTTGGCCATTCTAACAACACCAGATGTGTTTTTTGCTGTGATGATGAGGAATTGTTGGAGCTTTATCACTGCTTGGAAATAATTTTCAAGGCCTTAGGATTGTCCTATTATCTCTTTTTAAGGATAATCATCAAATTGATGTCATCAAGCATATCATCATTTTGATTTCTCTTTTTTAGAAAAAGAAACACTTTTTTTCACAATGATATTTCTTGTCAACCATTTGATGTGATCCAAGAATTTTATCATCTTATTTTCTATTTTGAGAATATATATTTGTAAATCATATTGTAACTTAAATTTTGATGTTAGCAAAACCTCAAAGAACATCTGATTTACCTCTAGTTAAGAGCTATGGTCATTTAATATCACAAGGATGGGGTATTTGGAATAAGAAAAAGAAGATTGTTAATTACACAATTTGCTTGATTTCCATTTCCTTTCGAAATTCAATCTTACATTGTTGATTACAAACTTCAATTTTCCATGAAGACTTACACATTACTTGTCATTGGCAACTTCATTTTCAAATTCTAACAGAAGAAGAACAAAGTTGTGTAGTCAATTCATGTATCTTCTCCTTTCTTCAATTCTTCCCTTTCTTTACTTGTCCTACTTCCATATGTTTCCCTTTTCCCAATCCCCCCTAATTTCATATGCCTTCATTTACAATTTTAATTTCTTTATGACTTTTTATGTACTTTTTACCCTTTTTTTATAGTATAATTTCATTTGAATAAAAAAGTAATAAATTAAATGAAGTAAGTATACAGTTTTACAAAAAAATAAAAAAAATTACTCAATACTTTGAATGAAGTAAAACTTTTGAAAAATGTTATATATTATGGACTAGAGGGAATATTTAGTTTTAATAACTTATTTGAGTTTTTATTCAGAGTCTAAAGAAGATAGAAGTCCCTTCTCCAATGAGCATAGCCATGCACGTGCATGCCTTTGGCCAAAAAAAAAAAAGTTCACTGATGCTGGTTAGTACTCTTGCCAAGAAGATAAAGGCTTGTTTGGTTTTTATTTTCATTTTAAATTTTTAAAAATTATTTTTTAAAGCAAAATAAGAGGAAAATCTATTTGCTTGTGTTAATTTAAAAATAATTTAAAATTAAAAAATTGGTCGGTAATAATTGTGAGAGACGATTAATGATGGTGACATATAATAATTATTAGTCAAGGTAATTGTAATTTTTAATAATCAAATGTAATATATTTTAAAAATAAAAAAAATATTGTATTGAAAAATAAGAAAAATAATAATGAAAATGACTTTAAGGTGTTTCTATTTTTTTGTTTTAAAAAAAATAAAAAATAACAATAGTTTTGAAAATAATTAAATTTAAAATATTCATTCAAACTAGTTTTTTAATTTTTTTAAATAAAAAAGGATTTTTGTAAACAGAACCAATTCCTAAATTATTAGTTTTTGCTTTCACACACACTTCCTTGGATGAGGATCAAACAACTTGTACTCATAACAGGCGAAAGACGAAATCTGGATTTCAGCGGCTTCATGTGAAATGTCAGCATCATCTCCTCGAAGCTTTCTTAATGTATCCATAAACTCTTTTTGACGTCTAGCTTTTGCCTGTAAGCCGAGGCTAGGTTAACCTTGCAATTTCCTTCAGCAGAACTAAAATTTCTGCTTGTATATGACTACTTGCTAGCCATTTGGGAGACTCTGGAATAAGGGAGAAAAAAAGGCCTAGAAGTAGAACTAGACATGAAACAACTTCAAAACTATAAGTTAATTAGTTTATTTGAATTTTTTGAGGGGTAAAGATTGGTTGTATTCATTCACCACGTGTGTGTTATTTCATTCATTAATATAAGATGAAATTAACAAACTTCATACTCATCAAGCAATGTTAACTTATATATATATATATATATATATATGTATGTATGTATATGTATATATGTTATTTTAATCCTTAAAATAAGATGAAGTTAATAAATTTCACGCTTATTAAGCAATGTTAGTTATAACCTTAAAATTAAACTATAATATATCTATATATATATAATTTTTCAATTTTACTCTTATTTGTAACTAATAATCATAATAAAATGCTGTTTAGTAATAGTTTTTGGAGGAGGAAGACATACATGTAGTGTGATGTCGAATAGAATATAAAATGCGGGAATGAAGTCATGGGCATGGACTCAATTCAAACTCACAACAAATATTCTCAGAGAAAAGGGAATAGAGAAAATGCAGATAGAGGGAGGGGAGTATGTGTTGTGACATTGGAGAAAATGAACCAATGTTTCTCATTACCCTTCAACCTCCATGCACTCATTCCACATTTTAGACATGCTTGAGAAGTTGCAAAATGTTCCCACAAAGACTTCAAATTAAAATGGGAATATTTGCAAATAAAAGCCTAGAGAATATTACACTTATTGACCCAAACTCCTTATTCTGATAAAGTCTTATGGGCTTATATTGGCCCTAATCCACCAATGATAGATTACCCAATATTTAAGAATTCAAATGACAATTAATAAACAAGGGATAAAATTGAAAAAAATTATTAATTACTCATCTTATATTTAGGACAATTTTTTTTTTCCAAACTTCATCTTAAAGGACTAGAGGGAGTATATCTTATACCAGTAAGAGCTAGTACCTAGCACAAGGGTAGTTGTTTGTTAGTCCAAGCACAATCATTAGATGCATATATGAGAGAAAATTGTATGTTAAGTTCTTTATGGTCAAATAATTTTTGTGAATTAGTAAAACTTCATACCTGATTCAATGTTAGATAGGCCACCTCGGAGTTCTTTTGGTGCTATTTCAGCAATACGCACACACATAACCATATTAGGATTAACACTTTTGAAAACACATACACCAGAGAAAGAAAAAGATAGAAAGCAACAAATCATGTCATCCATAATACAAGCCAAACTCCAATGCCGCATCATCCTGAAGAACCTCCAGTAGAGCCTCTGATGTCAAATAAACAAGTAAGTAATAATGATTCATATTAACCGTTATTTAGACCTAAAGACTGTAACAATTATTATTTATTAGAAATAACTGCTATATAGTTTTTGAAGCCAAATCCCACCTAATTTATATAACAGTTTTTGAAATAATTATTATATAAAGGATGACGTTATATATATATATATATATATATATATATTAATTTTTAGTAGTGGAAAAAAAGCTCCATGCCTTTGAAAAGTATATTGCAACTCAGCCAATTGAACTAATAGCCGATGTTCTCATGCCTGCTTGAGTCAAAAAGTCATTAAGGATGAATCTTTCAAATATACATACTTCTCTTGTTCTATTTATAGAGCAAAGTAAGAAGGTAAATTTTAGTCCTATTTATAAGACACTTCACTATTTTTATATTTATTTGAACCTTTTTTCCCTTATTAAATATTAGGAAAAATTATTAAAAGTAATTCTTTTTGTTCTTATTAGCAGAAGAAATGGGGAACCTATAAAATTCTAAGATAGGGTTAATAAAATTTAAAATTTTTTGGTTACACTATAAAATATATTGAAAGTAACTTATAAAAATCATTAGAAGGAGGAGGTAAATCATTTAGTGTTTTGCCCTTAGAGGATGAGGAGTTAAGTAAGCTCTTAGGATCTGTCACTGTTGTCAATTGTGGTGCTTTGCCAAATATCCATCAAAATCTTCTGCCCAAGAATTCTAAGATTCCACGCCATCATGGAGTTAGGATTGAACGTCTGAGTTTGTTACAATATGGAATCTATTTGGTTGCATTTTACACTTCCTTATGTGATTAGAAACATATATTTTACATGAATTATTTGCTCCCTTGTTCATCAGAGAAAACATAACTTTTACCGTTGGGATCAGTAGAAGTTAGATAAATATGATACTCAGCATGATTGTAACCAGCCAAATATGAAAAATTTTCAATTCCATTGCTTTTTTTTTTTTTTTCCACCCCCTAGTTCCATCACACCAAATGGGCCGTTTAGCCATTTTGGAGGCCATGGGAAATGGGGTTTTTGGTCCCCCATCCCTATAGTAAAAAAAAAAAAAAATCTGAAAACTCACTCATGTACATACTAATA